ATAAGGGGAGAAAGAAGACAGGTGGAGGGAGAGGGGGGGAGAGGGAGGGAGAGAGGGGTCGTTATCCCTTATACTGTATCCAGACTAACAGGATTAGGGCAGTGCCCATCCAGTCAGTGGGTTGATCCAGCAATCACCCACCCTAAACCCCAGCGTTGCATCAATCACACTCTCTAGATTCAGTCTCTGAAAAGGTCCTGTGTCCACAGGGGCCTTTGTGAGGGCATCTAGACACAAACCATAATAGCTAATGAAATTGGAGGGCATGAAGTTAGTGTCAGGGACTTAAAAAATTGGTTGGTGTATTAGTCAGCTTTCTATTGATGTAACAAATAATTGAGATCTTATAAGGAGAAAAGCTTTAAACTGAGCATATTGGTGCACATCCGTAACCCCAGGTATGTGGGAAGCTGAGGCAGGAGGATTATAAGTTCCAGCCCAGTCTTGGCAATTTTTTCTCTAATTGATTTATTGGTACAATTTAGATATACATAATGATCACATTCAACTAGGGAATTTGTACTTATACATATTATATCCTGACTCTTTTTCCTCAATCCACTCCCTTCCCTTCAACTCCTCTTCCCTTCCTTAATTATAAAAGCTTTATTTCCATTTTTCTTGTATTCTTTTTTTTCCTTTTCCCTTCCTTCCTCTCCACCTCCCCCATTCTTGTTTCTTGTCCCATTTGAACATTTTCTTCCTATTTCCCAATATACACTATAAATTTTGGTCTTTATTTACCCCTTCAGCTTCTCATACCAGAGGAACAATTCAATATTTACTCATGTGTGTCTGACTTATTTCAGTTGAGAGTATGATCTCAAGGTGCCCCCATTTACTTAGAAATGTCTGAAGTTTATTCTTCTTTATGATAGTATTCCATTGTATAAAAAAACCACATCTTCTTTATCCATCCATTGGTTGATGCAGCCTGGGCAACTTAGCCATGATCTCAAAATAAAAAAATAAAGGAGACTGAGGATGTTACTTAGTGGTAGTGCAACCCTGGGTTCAAGCCATTGTGCTGTAGGGGAAAAACAGGAAGAAACTTTTATTTTGGCTCATGTTTTCAAAGGGTTCAGTCCGTGGTCATTTGACTCTGTTGACAGTTTTGGGAAGGCAGCACATTATGACTGCTAGCATATGGTGGAACAGAGTGTCTACCTCCCAGAGGCCAGGAAACAGAGAGAGGAGGCCAGGGGCCGGGGTCTCAGCGGTGCCCTCATGACCTAATTTCCTTTAAAGAGGCCTCACCCCTTACAGGATCACATGGGCCTTTAAGGAACGCTTGTCCAAACCATATCAGTCTGGAAAATCCACACATTGGTGATCAGGACTATTGTGAATATTGAGATAACCTTTTTTGGGGCCAATTTTGCAACCCCTCAGTTGTGTCTGACATAACCACAGCTGCCATGTTAATAGTTATTTGAAATGTACAGTTTGCAAAGTGTTTTTATTGTGGGTGGAGTGACAGGATGGGTGAGAGGAAGGGAAGAGGGTGTAGGATGTACAAGGAGCCCTGTTTAAACCATGACACCTGCCTTTAATGCCTTATCTGATAGGCCAAGAATTTACTCCCAGGATTTGGAATTGCAACTCAGAGACCTCTAATCAGTTTCTGCAGAGTTTTGTCATCGTGGGACTGCCATGTCCATTTTGTTTTGTTTTTCTAGAAGCAAACAAAGCCAGAAGGAAACAGGAGGTGCAAGTCCAGGAGAGGAAAGCTGAAGGTGTGAAGCTGAGGGCAGGAAGGTGCCAGGCCTCTTAGGGAGCAGGGGAGCTGGTGGGGATGAGTGCGGGCAAATCTTGCCACCCCTTGGTGTAGACACAGTAAGGAGGGGAGTGTGAATTCTAACAGGTGAGGGGAACCACCCGAAGAGAAGGGTGGTTACCAAGGAAAATGGCAAGATTCGGTTCCCTTCACTGAGAAGCGGGGTCGACTGCCCAGTGCCCAAGGCTTGGACCAGGCAGGGAGAGACTGAAGAGACAGGTCTACCCTGCGGAGAGGCCGGAGAGGCCGTGGTGCTGATCAAGCGGAGGTGCTGGGGGAAGGAGCACCGAGGAGCACTTCTACTTCTGTCCGAAGCGACTGCTCAGCTAGGGACACTTGTTGCTAAGATCCCCCTGGTAATAGAGGAGAGCCCTAGCAAGCTTACATTCCTCAGTGAGAAACAGGCAAAGCTGCCAATGGAAATAATGTTAAGAGCTGGGTGCCGTGGTGTAGGTGAGGCTGGGTACAGAGTTCAGTGTGAATGCGGAAGGCCCTGGGTTCAACCCCAGTACCCTCAACTCAAAAGTGCTAGGACCAGTCAGAGGATAGGGAGACACTCTCCCCCTGGAGTAAAGCAATGGGTGGAATCCGGGAGCTCTGCTCTGCTTGAATTTCTGTGTGTCTACCTGCCTGTTCAACAGGGTTTTTGTTTTGGTACCAGGGATCAAACTTGCAAGGCAGCCACTTACGCCGCTGAGCTAAATCACTGGCCCATTAAACCGGAGATTTTTGTGACGGTTTCTTGAAAGATTATTCCTGTTTTGAGGAGGAGGAACTTCTTCAAGGAGCCTGTGTTCATGCCCCTGCCATGGAAAGAATCTGAGCCTCACTTGGCCAGCACCAGTGCCAGGCGCTGGGAGAGGCCAGCATGAAGCATGCCTGGACATTCAGGTTTCCTCTAGAGGGTCACACATTGCCACCTCCCATCTTCCACTGTGAGGGAACTGGGGTCCTTCCGTCCCTGTTCAGACCTGCAGGCTGGGGTTGGGGGCTGGGAGGTGGCCTCTGGGAGAGAAGAGAACATGAGAGATTGTCTTGCAATAGAAACAGACTTCAGTTTTTTGATCCTTCTTCTTTGCCACAGGCTTTTAAGGCATTTAAAAAATTTTAAGCATGTATAGGTAGTATATTTAAAAGTACAAAAAAGGGGATAACTCGTTAAAATCTCCCCTTGTTCCAAGACATATGATGTATTTACAAACATACATAGTATGCTTCTTTATCACACGATAACTTACCTGATATATATGTATTGCTTGTTCCTTTTGCTTAATAACACATGGTTGGTATGCAGAATTTCCCACGTGTCTGTCTACAGAGGAGCTACATAACAGCTGCTTGCATGGGTCAGAATTTATTTAGTCTTCTAGCAGTTGGAATCTAGGCTCTTAGGAGCCATGTTGCAAGGAATAGCCTGTACAAACCTCATTGCTTATGATGTAGAATTTAATATTTTTTATGTAGTTGAATTTATTATACTTTTATTAGTTTCTGGGCTTAGGTCAAACTTGATAAGCCTTTCCCTATCTGGTAATTAAAAAAATACCAAAAAAAAAAAAAAACCAGCTTTTTTTTTTGGCTTGGGCTTTTGCATGTGTGACCTTGGCATCTAGGTCAGTGTGAAACCCTGCCCATGTTCTGTCAGGCACTTCAGGGAACTGCTGTCATCACAGACCTGAGACCTAAGTCTAACTTTGACGTAGACATTTTAGAGGTGAGAAGACAGAGGGGGGGACAGGTTGTGGCACATGGCCCAGCTCATTCAGGAAATAATTAGCACCAAGCTTCCACGCAGTGAATTTTCCTTGATCACAATAAAAATAGCTTTTATATGAGGTAATGATTAAACAAACAAAACCATTTTCTATTTTAGAACAGTTTAGGATTTACAGAAAAATTTGAGGACGGTACAGTTTTACACATACCCCCACACCTCCTTTCCCCATTAACGTCTTTCCCACTAAGATTTCACGTCAACACGGCACATTTTTCACAATTAATGGATGAAGATTAATAAATGATTTCTTATCAAAGCCCAATATGTGTAATTCCCATAGTTTATATCTAATGCGTTTTGACTTCTATTTCAGAATCCTATCAAGGGTTGCAGTATCTCATGCTTCTCTTGACTGGAAGTTTCTTGGTCTTTGTTGTTGTTACCTTGACATTTTTTTTCCAGCATGGGAGACTGAAGTAGGACTTTTGCACTGAGCTACATCCTCAGTCCTTTCTTTTCAATATTTATTTTGTCATAAGGTGTCACTAATTCCCCAAGCTGCCCAGGCTGGATTTGAATTTGCTATCCTCCTTCATCAGCGTCCCAAAGTGCTGGAATTACAGGAATGTCCCACTGTGTCCAGTGACCTTGATGGTTTCTAGGAATACTGCTGAAGTGTTACCTAGAATGACCCTCAATTGGAGCTAATCTGCTTTTAATTTTATTTTTATGATTAGATTGAGAAGGGAGGACCACAGTGCTGAACTGCCATTCTCATCATTCACTTGACACATCATCACCTGTCCCAGAAAGTGTACTAGCCACGGCACCCTCCTCTCCCACACCTGGCTCTCTGGGAGAATGGCGTTGTATGCAGCTACCTATAAAGTTGTAAAGAGTTAGTGTCCTTTCTTTGAAGTATCTACATAGATGGTTTAGAATTCTGCACAGAATTACCCACATTCCCCCAGGTGTATATTTATTTAATCACTTCTTTATAGTTGGTAATTACTTTTAGTTTTTTTACAAGACAGCATCTTGTCTGCACAAGAGCGGCCTAGAACCGCTGGGTTCTGGCAATACTCCTGTCTTGGCCTCCTGAGTCGCTGGGACTTAGAGGTGTGCGCCACCTGCATAACTGCTTTTATATTTTAAATTACACACGCACAGATGCGTAGCGGTGGAGACGAAACGTGGGCATGATGCAAATTTTAAAAGACAGGCATTGTATCTTGTGAAAATCCTTCCTCCCCCCAGGCTCCCCTCCCCACTCCTAGCTTCTAAGGGGTACAGACACTCTAAGGGGTACAGAATATATTTACAGTAACTGTCTTCGTTGTCTTCAACCCTGCAAGCCTGGACAGCTGAGCTCGCACTCAGCGCCCCCCAGCGCTCCCGGCGCCCCCCACCCCCCGCGCCCAGGCGGTTCCCCGCCCCCCGGGGTGGGCGGGGCGCCGGGAGCCACGCCACAGGGCTCTGTGACGTCGGCGCCGCCGGAACCTGGAATCCCGGCGGCGGCTGGCGGCGCTGGAGGCGGCGGCGGGGTGCGGAGGGTTCCCGCGGCGCCGGCGCCATGAGCGAGCCGAGCGGCAGCGCGCCCCCCTCGGGCGGGCCCAGCCTGCGGCCGGTCCTCCTCCAAGGTAGGCGGCTCCGCAGGTGGGGAGCGCGGGGTCCCCCGGGTCCTGCGCCCCCGTTCCTCCCAGCCGGTAGCCCGCGTGCCACAGGGCACTGAGTGGCCGTCCGCACCGTGGTGGTCCCGATGGCCGGGGCTCTAAGTCAGAGCTCATCGCTTGAATGAGACCCGAGAGCCTCGCCGGCCCCAGCGTTCCGGGGGGCGTTGCCTGCCCCCTGGACTTTGCAGACTTCACAATTAGAACAACTGCAGACCGGGTTTTTGTCCGGCTCTTTATTGCTGTGTGATTTTCCGTAAGTGGCTTGCCTTCTCGGAGTCTGATTCTTCAGCAGTAAAATGGGAATAGGGTGGTGGTGGCTTTAGCTGAGAAACGTGTGATGTGCCTAACACAGTTCTGCCTCGCAAAGAAAGGTGCAATAAATGTGGCCAGGCAATAAATTTTTTTCTTTTTCTTTGTTTTTCCGAGACGGTCTTACAATGTAGGTCCGTGAACTGTAGCCCAGGCTGGACTCTGACTCTTGGGGATTCTCCTGCCTCAGCCTCTCAAGTGCTGGAATTACAGGTGTGGGCCACCACACCTGCCTTTTCTTTGTTTTTTTATCGAGTAGAGCATATAATTAAATATACACAACTATAGGTTTTCACATCATTAAAGCCACTGCCCAGTCGATAGCAAAGTTGCCAGTACCCAGGCAGCTTTCTTGAAGCTTTTGTACCTTGTTTTTGTGTCAAGCAAGACAAGACTCTGCCTGTTTTATTTGTAATATTTTTTCTACTTCAGTTTGAGGACAGGGATTTCATAAAACCAAGGATTTAGAGCATGAGCGCTCAGTCTTTTGACTTGCTTGGGTTTCATTGAGCACAGAGGAATTGCCCGGGATCATATAAAAAAATCTAGTATAGTAAATGTATATAAATGACAAAACTATACTTGAAAAGATTTTGTCTATAACATTGAGGAAGCCCAAGATTAATAAGTTAAAGAGAAAACTTACATATCTGATTACTAAGGAGAAATACCTGTGGTCACAGGCACACACAGTATGTGTAGGTTGGTTGAAATATTTTAGTTGTCTTATGCACCAAGTTGCCTGAGTGTTCCCTTTTTTCTTCTGGTGACTACTGGGGATGGAATCCAGGGTCTTTGCACTGAGCCACACCCCTCCCATTTTAAAATTTTAGAGACAAGATCTTGCCAAGTTGCTAAATTGCCTAGGCTGGGCTCATTCTTGTGACTCCTCCTGCCTCAGCCTTCCAGGACACTGAGATCACAGACTGGTACCCTCACATGTCATTAACACGTGGTTTTCATTCATCGATTGTGTGCAGTAGGCATGCTGCCACCTTCGACACCTAGCATTCCGTCGTTGTCTCTGTGGGGCTTGCTACAGCGTCAAGCCACACAAGTCATGAACAAAATCACTAACCCATAATGTTGAAAGTGTATGATCTTGTGGGGCCACAATGCTAGCTGTCCAGGGACTTGCAGAGCCTGTGGGCTGTGGGTTGGACATGCCTGATTTAGAGTAAAACATTAGACATTCTGGGGCTGGAGGTTTAGCTCAGCGGCATAAGCGCCTGCCTTGCAAGCAGGCAGTCGTGAGTTTGATCCCCGGTACCGATAAAAAGGAAAAAGATTAAAAAAAAAATTAGACATTTTGCATTTCAGTTGGATGGTTCCCAACTATAGAAGAAAAATCTGTAAAATACCCAAACCCTGGAGAAGTGCTCAAGAATCAGAAAAACCAGGTGATGTTCAATGCTAATTATTTCCTAGCTCAATATTTATGCTGTTGGGGTCAGTTCAGTTTCAGGCTTTTTAATAATAGCTAAGGGTTGGGGGTGTGGCCCAGTGATGGAGCACTTGCCTAGCATGCACAAGGCCCTGGGTTTAATCCCCAGTACTGCCAAAAAGAAAAATGAAAACCAGCCATTTAGATTTTCTAGTTGGTTTTTATTTGTTGCCTCCTATTTTAGATTCTCCTATTTTATTACAATCCATAGAACACGCCAGCTCTTGTTTCCTGTAGGGAAAGTTTGAGATTCATCTTTCTTAGGTCCTTGTGGAGAGTTTAAGGGAACTTTAAGTGGCTTTTTATGAGTATCCTAACTGGCCTCTAACGGAAACTTCTCCCCTGCTCCTGGGAGAGATGGTGTTTTGATCTTTGTCCACCAGCATGGATAGGAGACTCAGAAAGGACTGTGTTTGAAACTTTGTAGCGTTGTGTAAACAGTGGCCAGCTGTGTGGCCCTCAGGGGAGGACAGTGGGTGGGGATGTTAGCTGCCCACCAGGATAACAAAACCAGAACTAATGGACTTGTGGAAAGAAGAGGTTTATTTTGGCTTAGTACTGGCGGTTCCAGTCCATGCTGATTCTGTTGCTGTTGGCCAAGATGAGGCTGTGTATCATGGTGGCCATGTCAGAGCGAGAGGTTCATCTTGGGGACTAAGGAAGTGGAAGGAAAGAGGGCAGATAGGGCTGGGGAGTTAGCTCAGCGGCATAAGCGCCTGCCTTGCAAGCAGGCAGTCGTGAGTTCGATCCCTGGTACAGATAAAAATGAAAAAGACAAAAAAAAAAAAAAAAAGGGCAGAAGAGGCATCGCTGGGGCATCGCTGCCTCCTAGACCTGCCGCTGAGCCCCGCCTCCTGTAGCACCATACTGGGGATCTTTGGGGACATTTATCCAAATACGGCCACAGACAGAGTCTGGTTAAAGGATGGGAAGCAGCCTTCCTCAATAAAATAGATCTCTCTCCTTCTTAATCACAACTTTACAGTGGCTTCACTCCAAGAATAAACTCTAGGCTCTCCTGTGGCAACCAGGAAGCCTGGTGATGTGACCTCAGCCCACTTGCCAGTCCTTCACTCCTACAGCCATCCCTTGACCTGTGCTGTTCTCATGCCTACCAGTTACCCGGCTCATTTCTGCCTCAGGACCTTTGTACCTGCCCTTCTTTTTGTGTGCACTGCATCTCTGTCTGAAGGGATGTCCCCATCTCTCCTCCCCTGACTGGTTTCCTTGCTGTTTTCCCCAGCCACTTACATCTGAAGTCATTCATCTGGTTTGATTGTGTAGGAGCTGTGGCTCACTGTCCTTGTAAAAAGTGGCTCCTGCAAAGCAGACACTTTATTTTGTTTGCCTGGGGCCTAGAGTGGTATCTGGCACGTAGGAAACACTCTGTTTTGAACCTGGGTACGGAACAAAGAACTTCTTTTGCTGAGCCTCAGTTTCCCCATCTAGAAAGTGGAAATTGTGGAGTGGAAGCCACTGTAGGCCCACTAGCTTCACAGGGGGCTGTTCTGAGACCAGCAGCCCCCGTTACCATCACTGTCACCGCATTGCCACCACTCCTGCCGCTTCCCTTCCCCAGGGGGCCTGAGCGCCCCTGGTCCCTGCCCAAAATTCTCTTCTCAGGCCTCAGGGTTTGCTGTTCCCTTTTTGCACACCCTGCCCAAGGCCAGGTCTCCTGCTTCTGTCTCAGCCTGTCACCTCCTCAGAACAGCAGAGACCTCATACTTGCTGAAGTGTCCCCTGGAGAGACTCTGCCCCGGCCTCCAGGTGCCTGGCATGTTTTGTACATAGTTATGAACAGGAATGACTCTAAATCAGCCTCTTCCTTTGTCAGATGTTTATAAAATACCATTCATTGAAGTTTTTTTTCCTTTCCTTCCCCACTGCTGAAGATCAAGCCCAGGATCTTCAAACTGAGCTACATTCTCAAGCCTTTACTTTTTTTACTTTGAGACAGAGAGTCTCACTAAATCAGTAAGTTGCCCAGGCTGGGCTTGAACTTGTGATCATCCTGCCTTCGCCTCCCCGAGTCCTGAGGCTACAGGTGTGCGCCACAGCTGCCTCCATCCACTAAATACCCCACTCACGAGGTCCTGCTTTCCAGGGCACCTTGCCAGCAGGCATGCAGTGCTTTTCTTTCTCCCTCTGTCCTTCCTTTGCTTTTCTTTCTCTTTTCTTCCTCCCCCTCTCCCTTCCCTCCTTCTCTCTCTTCTTTCCATTAGTCAGTCCCTCTCACACTTTCTCCCACCTCCTCTTTCTTTATTGAGATAAATTGAACCCTTTACAGTATACCATTCAGTGCTATTTAGGACGTTTGCAATGTTGTGTAGCCTCTCGTTCTAGAGGTATGTTTCTAGAATATTCCCATCACCCGGAAAGGAAGCCACATACCCATTAAGCAGCCCTAGCCCACTCCACACCCCAGCCTCAAGCAGCCAGTCCTCTGCTCTGGTCTCTGTGGGCTTGGGTTGGTCTGCTCTGGACATTTCCTCTCATTGTTGCAGTGTGTGGTGCTTCCTCTGTTTTAAGGTTGCATGGTGCCCCTTATACAGTTGTAGTGCCGAGTTTTGTGTTTTCTACTTTGAGGAAAAATGAATTCTGTCACTGGACAAACCCCAAGTTCTAGCGCATCCCCAAAGTACAGAGGAGGAGACTTGATTCACCTCAACCCCTGGCGCAGGCTACAGGTTCCCTGACTTCTTCACCAAAAAAGAATTCCCAAGGTGTGTTAGTGTGTGAGAGGTGTTGAGAGCTTTCCTAAGCAGAATTTAAAGTATACACTCAAAGAAAATAGAATGCACGCCTTCAAGAGAGAGGCACGCTGTAGTCTGCAGCTGGGAATATTCGTGGGGTTCTGGCGGGGGAAATCTGTGAAACTTGTGAACCTGTGGAAACTTCGGGTTTGTTTTACTACAGGAGAGAAGCAGTGACCCACCCATAGGTCAAAGGACTTTTAACAGGTGAAAAGGTGGCTCATTTTTATAGGAGAAAAGCACGGGCATTTTTCCATATCTGTTTGTTTTTATTTTTTTTACCTTACAAAGTCCTCTTTTTTATTAGTACATATGGAAACCGCATTTAGTCTTTTATTCTCCCTTCCCCTCCCTTTCTTCCTTCTCCCTGTCTCTGTGTCCTCTTCTGTCTGTAGAAGGTCTACCCCCTTCTCCTGTGGTCTTTCATTTTGCTCTTTAATGATGTATCCTTTTGGTTTCTC